AGGAGGAAGAGGACACAGCTCCCCGGGGGCTCCAGTCGGGCTGCGGCGGCTCCGGAGCAGCGGGGCGGGGCGGCTCGGCGGGGCCACCGAGGTCCAGCAGCTGTGGCGGCCGCTCCTGCGGGGCTGCGGCGGGAGCCGCTGCAGGCTTCCTCTCCATCACCTCCAGCTGCTCGTCGAAGTCTTCGTCCTCGTCTTCCTCTTCTTCCTCCTCTTCCTCCTCCTTCTCGTCGTCGAGCACGAACTGGTAGTTAAACTGTGGCTGCTGCGGCCGGGCTGGCCCGGAGGAGGAGGAGACCAGGGGCGACTGGTCCAGCTCGTCCATGGTGCCTGGAGCGGGCGGAACAATGAGTAGTGCGGGAGCGGGGGGAGGCGCGGGCTGCGCTGCCGCCGCCGCTGCGGGACCCGCACTCCACGCCCTGTGAGTCACCGCCCGGGAGGCGCGGGCGCGGCCGCCCCGCCCCGCGCCCGGAGCGGCGGAGGCGCCAGCCAATGGGAGCGGGAGAGAGCAAGGAGCAGCCAATGAGAGGCGAGTTCGGGCGTGGCCCTTCATGAATATGCATCAGATGGGCGGGCCCGAGAGCTAGCGGAGCGGGGCTGAGAAGTCGGGTAAAGTTCAGCGTGGAGAACGCGGGAGGGGCGGCAGAGGAGACGGGGCATGGCCCGGGGCCCCTCCATCCCCCCGCGACAGACAGCCCGGGAGCGCGTGGCGCGATTCACCCCTCTCCTCTGCCAGGAGTAGTGTCATTCTCCCTTTTTTTGTTGTTTTAAACAGCGGCCAGAATGCCTCAGCGATTTCCAGAAGGAGAAAGGGATGGCTGGGCTCCCGGGTATGGATGGCGCAGGGCACCGATCCGCCCTAGCCCGGCTTCTCTCACCCTGGATGTGACCGAAGGATCCCGAGGCACCCCGGGAGCCGCCGCACTGCGGGGCAGGGAAGGGGTAAGGCGCCGTCCCGGTCCCGATCCCGATCCTGTTCCTTGGGCATCGCGCCGATCACCGCAGGCACATCCCCTGGGGCGGGAAGTGGAGTCAGCCAGCGCCTTCCTCCGATGGGAATGGAAGTTTTAACCAAAACATGATGCAAAAACTTGCCCGGGTCTGAAAAAAAACAGAGAGGAGACATTGTCAGAAGAGATAAACCTGTTTAGCCACCCGTGCTAGCGTAAGGCAGCCCCATGAACAGATCTCACCATCTCTTTAGGGTATGAATTTAAATTGTGCAACTTCTGCGGGAAAGAATGGAAAGGAAAAGAAAAATGAAAGGAGAAAAATAAAAGGAAAAAAGAGAAAGGAAAGGGAAGAGGGTAAAGGGAGAAGGGGAAAGAGGAAAAAAGGGAGGAAAGGAGAGAGGGAAGGCGAAAAAGGGAGGAAAGGAAAGAGGGAAGGGGGAAAAGGGAGGAAAGGAGAGAGGGAAGGGGAAAAAGAGAGGGAAGGGGGAAAAGGGAGGAAAGGAGAGAGGGAAGGGGGAAAAGGGAGGAAAGAAAGGGGGGAAAGGAAAAAGGAAAAAAAGGGAAGGAAATAAGAAAAAATGAAAAGAGAAAAAAGGAAAGAGGAAAAAAAGGGAGGAAAGGAGAGAGGGAAGGGGAAAAAGGGAGGAAAGAAAGGGGGGAAAGGAAAGAGGAAAAAAAGGGAAGGAAATAAAAAATGAAAAGAGAAAGAAGGAAAGAGGAAAAAATGAAAGGAATAAGAGAAAGGAAAGAGGAAAGGAGAAGGGAAGAATAAATTTAAGGAAAGAGGAAAGGGGATAAAAAAAGAGCAATGGAAAGAGGTAAGGAAAGAGGAGAGGGAGAGCAGAAGAAAACTTGGCACCTGCCTCGTGTTAGACTCTGGTGTGGTCTCCAGCTTTCTGCTCAGAGATGGAACATTGGCCAAAGCCCTTAGGGTAACACTTAATTTAACTAAAATAGCTTCTATTTGGATGCAATTTCCACCCACACAACCGCCTCAATAAGACCAAAAGGCCTTATAATTCTATATTTAACACTATTCCAATATTATTATGGGTTTTTAACCCACAGATGATTTATTCTCCTGTACAAAGAGATTAGTTCATGGAAACAGAGCGAGCAGCTGCCAGTTCAGTGAGACACGAGAAGTTAAGGAAAAGAAGCAGCTCTCCTGGCACTTCCCTTGTGCCATGCAGGGTGCAGAGATGCAGAGATGGATGTTCCCTGAGCTGTCCCACTCAGCAGTGACTGACAGCCTGGAGCAGGAGAAGCTCCCCAGTGGGATCAGTTCAGTGCACACAGAGGGACTGAGGGGCAGCCACACCTCACACTGCAGAGGGAAGAGCTTCTGGCTGGCAACGGCGTTCAATCGCCAGCTCCAGTCACTGTCTGAAAAATGGGATGGCAACAAGTGAATGGAGGGGCTCCAAAGGGTCCCAGCACTGAGTCCTCTCTTGCCTCAGGAAAACATGTCATATTCTTCCCATGAACAATCTGAACCCAAATATTTGTTGCTGCTGTTAGTATTGGGAAGGCCATTCTAAGACACCCCCTTTTCCAAATTGCAAGAGACCTTCCAGCTTCCAGTCTTAATTTTCTCAAGGCCAAGGTACATTGTCTTACCACTCTTCCCTTTAAATTGCTTTTTTTTCTCAATTTTAGTTTTGAAGAATACATTTTGCCCAGCCCTTGCTTTCCAAAGCTAATACTGGAGAAGCTATGTTGTCACCCTTCCCCCTGCTCCTCCAAGCAGCCTTTCCCTGACCCAATCCAGTCTCAGATCAGGCACAGGAAATTCCAGATGAGATTTTTTTTTTCAAGAATGTACAAAGACATCAATATTCCCTATCACTACCAGAAATTACCAAAATAAATGTGCAAAGTATTTTTATAAATACAGTGAGGGCAACATTGTAATTGTGATGGAGATAAATATTCCCAGCAGGTGAATAAGGCCTTGACAAAATGTGAGGTCTTTAGATGCCATTCTTTGCCCCTAAGATTTTGGGTGTTCATTGACAAATCATCCATTTATCTTTTCAAGTCAGCCCCTTTTACAGTGATGTAGGGGATGCTACAGCAGCAGCAGAATGGAGGCATAGCAAATAAAATACTTTGATTGAATAAGGTCTTTATAATTTCACCAGAAAATCTACATTTTGCATCTCTTGGTTAAACAAGAAAATGGATTTTTAAAATTCCATTATAATATAACCTAAGGCAACAAAGTACCTTTAAAAATTCTTCAAATTCAGAGTATAGACAGAGTGCTGACATATTTAACTACGGGGACTTTTGGTCATCTACAAGAAGGAAAAATCTATATATAATTTGGCTGATTTTATCAGAACACTTGGAAGAGTATGTATCATCTATTAAGAACAAATGAAAGGAGTTTTTATTTAGAGACAGGAAGTGACTAAAGGTCTTGGGGGGAAACAGGAAGGGAGTTCCTTATTCCCTGAGCAAGTCAAATTAAAAAGCAAGAGGAAAACAGAGCTCTGTAGTACTGAAACTACTGCAAAACACCCCAGGTTTTAGCTCTTTAGAAAAGTATTGTACAGTTCTGCTAGGAAGACTGACAACAAGTAGGAGTATTTTGCAGATATTCAGCAATTTATTTTACTTCAAACTTAGTGAAAACTTAGTTTTCATGAGCTGTTTTCTTATAGCAAAGTTAGGAAGGAAAACATTCCATGAAAAACCCCAGTGGGGATATTTCTGAATTTCCACAGCAGTGCTGCCAGTGGTGATGTACTGGTGGGATTTTGTCAGTCCACTCTGACCTTCTGCTTTATCTTACACAGAAGTAATATGATATCACAGCAGATCATGGACTAAGATAATAATGGTGATAGGACAAATGCAGCACTGTCACTTCACAGCAGGATCCAACAGAAAAACCCCCACATTTGGTGTCAGACAGCGATTTTAAAGGATGGATTTAAAATTGCGAGGGTGGCCGGATTTCTGTCCCTCCTTTTAAGCTTTAAGGACAATCTCCCAGGTTTCAGACATAATGTCTTTATCTCTGGAAGGATAAAACTCTGCAATGCTTTGTTTTCAGATTATGCCAGTGCTGAATCGAGCAGATTTGTCTCATAGGTTTGTCTTCACTTGAACACCTGCTGTACTTCTTTTCAAGATCAGCGGTGGCATGTTGTGACAAAATCACTGCTTAGTTTATTAATACAAATGCAGCATATGGAGGGGGAAAAGTGTGAAAACAATACAACAAAGGGAGTTCCATCTCTTGATGGTAACTGAGCCAGGCTGGGCTTTATTGCAATCTTCTGTGAGGCCTTCCTTGTCCTCTGCTATAAATAACATTTTCTTGATGATAACTTCTCTAACTTGTTATATTCTTTAGTGTTCCAGGCACTCCTTATTCTGGAATTGTTTGACTGGAATCAAACACATCCATTTCTACAGTAAATGTCCCACTAACCATGTCAATATACAGTGCTCTGATTCAGACCTGTCACAACACACCCTGCAGAACTTCCTTCAGCCAGCCAGGTGCTGAGCCCATCCAGCTGCATGAATGAGAGCAGTTCCAGGACAGCTCTAAAAGACACCAAGTGCCACCAGTGAAAAGCTGCCAATAGCTGTACCTTTAAATTCCTACATCCAGGTATTTTCTTTTTGGTCTCTGTAAGCTGTCATTCAAAGGCACCAAAGCTGATGTGTGCCATTAAAATGATGTTACAACAGTGGACAAGAACACATTTGTTCATCAGTAAAATTCGTAACATTTGAAGGGAACCAAAACAATGACAATGTTCTCCAGCAAATGAGACTGTGACATGAAAAACTCACCTCTCTAAAGCTGCACAGGGATCCACTGTTAATGGGAATTTGGTCTGATTACTCTTTTTTCTTGGGAAGAACCCCTTTGGTCTTACTTAAAAGACAATACAGTTAACTTCATGTCTTATGACACCCCCAGGATTTTGTAATTCTCAGAATACATGTAATTCCCCACATTAGGTTTAATGTTACTACTTGTCAGCCCCTCACACTTTTAAGAAATACAATTAAATTATTCCCTTACAGTTTGGCCATAATACTTCTCACTCTTGAGGAACATAAGGACCATCAGTTTAATTGGATCTAGACAAAAAAATAAATCCATTCTCCATTAACAAACAGCTCCAGATAGTATCAACTACTTTTTCTAATTAATGTTCCCCCATCCTAATTTTTGTTTTAAATCTCCTCCACATTCTGACTCCAGGTGCTGAGCTAGTGATGTCACTCACTCAGTGACTAGAACTTACAACAGCAAGAATGAGCACTCTGACATCATGGCATTTTACCTACATTATTTTAAGAGCTTTTTTAAAATTTAGAGATTTCTTGCAGCTATAATAAATTGGGATTTAAGCTGCTTTGCTTTGTAAAGGGAAAAGTGTATATAATTTATATTAGAGATCAATTTTTGCTCTTTCTCAGCATTGATATTGACCCACATAGGAAAGAAACAGCCTGGTAACCAACATTCAGGGTTATTTCCTTGGCTACCAAATGTGCCCTAGGAGAAAACAAACAGATTGATGGGGGCAACAATTTCACCATTACTGTAGATAAGGCTGATGGCATCACTATTGGAATTAGGAAACTTAACTATACAGGCAAAGCATGCAGAGGGAGCAGCACATTGATCTGAACTCACATTTGAAAGGAAGAGCTGCTGTTTTCCAGAACTTTGCTCACTTCTCAGCAACTTGTCCCTTGCAAATGCCTTTAGCAGGCTCCAGCAGCTGGAGTCTTCAGCTGGGTCATGGTGGTACTTGGGGCCACGGAGCATTTCTGACGGGGGATGACGGAATGTAGGGCAGCTTTGGCAACACCACCAGGACTGAGGCTTCTTTCTTAGAGTATTTAGGGAGCTCTTCCTTTTATCTGGGTCAGACAAAGATAGGACAGCTAAGAAATGTCCAACATGACTTCCCTGCTTTCTCAGTACCACGTCCAGCTGGTCATACACTGAGGCCCTTTACCTCCCTCACCTTTCCCCAGACAAAATATTCCAGCTTTTGAACACTTTGGGCAATTTCACTTAACTATGGCAGTGGCAGAAGATTCAAGGATATTGAATTCCTGATAGTTTTGTAGAAACCAGCAGCTGGTTAGTTAGAATTAGAAAGAGCTGATGAGCTGTCCAGTGCAGAGGGAGCCAGGAGAAGCTGGTGGTTCCCCATTCCACTGGTGTATATATAAGTAGTTTTTACAAGCCTGCCTGTCTGTCATTTACCCAGATGGCAAAACCAAAAAGGAGGATGAGAGAACGACTGAAGATATTCCAGGACAGAGATGCAAACAGTGTAAGACCTGGAGCTATAGGAAACTTGAATTTGCTTGTTTTACTGGTTTGGAACTAGTTTCTGACTGGTGTAGATAGGGATGTATTTTAGGTGAGTCATGCCAGTGGTGAAGGATTACCTAAGTGCAACCACAGTGTTGGCAAGGGAATAAAAGGAATCCTGTAGGCTGAAGTCTTTCTGATATATCCTGTAAAAAGGAGCAGAAATGAAAGGAAAAGATACTGAGAAAACAGCACATGGAAAAGAAGTGGCACAGGGCTACTTTAGTCCCTAAAGAAAAACAAAGTTCTTCAGATTTCTAGAGCATGATGTTTGGCAGGTATCCCTTACTCTAAACCATTTTCAATCCTTTTTTTTTTTTTCAGTGCAGACATAGTTTTTACTGTTCTCATTGTATCTTGTGAAAAACTAACATATTTCAGTAAAAACTAACTACTTGAATGACATGTAACATCTGCTCAAATTATTACTTCAGCACTGGCTGTTAGCTAAGATTTACTGGATTTATTCCATCAGGTAGAATCAGGTTGCTAAACAGTATAAGTTTTAACATATGAGCCTGGAAATAACTTGACTATATCCTGGGGAGAAATGCCAGGGTAAATTTAAAAAATCCCAATCAGTTTAGAAGTTTTTGAAAATAAAATCAGAATTTAGAATAGCACTCTTTCTTTAAGACTTATCCAACTAAATTGATTCAACAGAATTCTTGTAAATGACAGTGATTAAAAGAATAAGATCATGCAATCATAAAATGATTTGGGCTGGAAGGGACCTTCAAGACCATTTCATTCTCTCCCCTCACCCCCATATTCCATAGGCAGGGATACCTTTCTAGAACAAGTTGTTTCAAGACCAACCTTGAACACTTCCAGGGAAATGTAAACCATATAATTACATAATTCTTCAGCTCTGCAGTGGGCTGTAAAGCCAGTCTCCATGAGCAGTTTTTGGACACTACACCAGCAGCAGTTTTTTACCTAGACTGGAGGAGGAGTCATCTGGAGGAGGAGCAAGGCACACAGATATGTGATCCCTTTTAGGCTGCCACTGAATTCATGTCAATTTTATTTGTTCTTTTAGCAACACTATTTCTTACAGTGCAGAACTGTTTAGTAGGTATCCTAGTAAAAAAGCAGAGACCCAAAACAAAGGCCTGCCTATTGATTGGCATTTCAAATACATTCCTCGGATGGTGAGAAGACAACCTCCTTGCCCCTATTAGTTAGATGTAAAAATTCCTCCATTTTGCTCAATAACTGGTGATCCCACATGATATTTAGGCAGTTTCTTGATACTTCAGGGTGCTCATACAGCTGATGTGATGGTCAAATGTACCTCTGATCACTCATGTGGTGCCTTTGCAGTACTTATGGAAGTGTCATGCTTTCCTTCTACTCTTGTCTCACAGCATCCTCAGATTCAGCCCACTTGGAGGCAAAGCCCCTCAGCAGATCATCCTTTCCCTCATGTTCTGCTCATCTGACCTGGTTTAGCCCTCCTTATAGCTTGGGAGTTCATACTGATGTTCAATTGTTGCACTGAATTCTTCTTTGAAGCAAGTATCCTTTCTTTTTCTTCCAGAGTATAAGAAGAAGAAGAATTGTAAGGCACACAAAGGATATGCTTTCTATATTAAGTAAGTGTAATATTCCATCCTGGCTTTTCCATGAGATGAGTGATAGTTACTGCTATCAGCCTCAGGAGAATCAGCCTCTCTTCCCTCATCTGAGGATTTTTTCCCCCTTTAAAATCCACTTCTATGACTGCTCCAGAATGCTGAACTTGTAAAAGTAATTTATGTATTCCACTATGGGATAAGAGGGAAGACAGCTGGGAGCAGACAAAAAGAGATTCCAAAATGGACCAGACCTCCAGCTGCTGCCCCACAGAACAGAAAGATCAGCACTGGCACCATCACAAACCATTAACTTTAGTTCTCCCAGACTAAAACAGCCCAGGACTGGGTAATTCTTACTTCCCCATATAGCATCCATCTAAGTGCAACTAAATAAAGATAAATATATTATTCCTAAAAATAGCATGGGATGTCATCACTCATATTTTTCAGAAATAGCAAGAGCTATTTAAACTGCTTTGACAATGAAATCAGGTGCCACCATATAAATACACAGTATATGATACATTGGTTCAGTTTTAGATTGTTTTATGGCAACTGCATGATAATTAAATTTTTATTGCATTCCTACTAATATGCAAGTTTTACATTGTGTTAGGGATTTTTTTTTCCTCTCTGCTTAGAAATTTTAGTTCAAATTATAGATATTCCTTCAGTCTAAGTATTTTTGCATTTATAGTTGTGTGTGGCATATTTATGGGTGGATGGATGGATAAACACATATCCAAAATGTGAACCAAAAAAGCCAAATCTATCAGACTGGCTGTTGGACACTAATTAGGTTCAGTTTACCCTCTGGAGTGCTCAGGCTCCCCAGTCAAGAACCAAGGCTCAGTGAGTTACACAACACTGGCACGTCATGAAGTCAATTCCTCCCACACACAGTTCACAAAGCTCACTACAACAGGTGGATGAAAGACGTGTTGCGTAGGGGTGTTTTGGAAAACTGAGGCAACAACAAACCAAAGGGGTCAGTGGAAAAAGAGCAGTCAGCTTTTCCACTTCCCATTCTTGGGCAGTTGTTTTCTCTTGAATGTTTGGGATTTGCTTGGATTTGCAAGGCAGGTCTAGAACAAGTAAGGAAAGATAGACACGCACTGAGAAAATCCAAGAGAGCTCAGAATAACATCCCATAGTACCTGGTTTAGCTCCATTGCCAGGCACTGTCTGCTCTCTGACAGGTAAGGGCACACACTCCTGTGAGCCCTCCTCAGCTGTAAGCTCCTAAGGCAAAGCCCCCATAATCTGCGATTTACAGATGCAGCACTGCGAGCCCGCAGTGCCGGAGGCAGCCCCTGACGCTGTGCGGGGCTATAAATACCTTCTGCCACCAGGGGCTTTCTCAAATCTTTTCCAATCAGATTTCTCCCACTGGGCAGCCAGAGCAGACGCTCAGCTGGGAGCACTGGCCAAGCTGGTAACCCACACCGGCAAACTTCAGAGGAGCCTGAAGGAGTTCTGCCCATGAAGTTATGGCACGATACAAAGACCAACTTCGTTATCATTTGTTCTGTGTCATGTCAGCACAGGACTGCTTTGGTCCAAAATCCTCTCTGAGCCTTGGCAGCACACAGATATCTGTGTGGGATATATGTGTTTGTAGCTGTGTCACCCGGGGCAACATCACAGGGGATTGGACAGGATAGGCGGGTTTGGGGTTTGGCAATACCTGGATAAGGAGCCCACATGATTGCTGCATTTGTGTTCTCAGTGCTGCCACACAGAAGCTCTGGCCCTGCCATCGGCTGTGTGCTGCTCTCCCAAAAATCCTGGCAACCTCATAGAGCCAGCCTGGAGAACAGCTGGCAGTTCCTGCCCTCGTGCCTGAATAAAGTCATTTTCTCAGGCAGAGCAACCGGCACTGGAGATGGGAATTTTGGGGCTCCCCAGCAACATGGGAGAGAGATGGAAATGGCAAACGGGGAAGGTGGGAAGTTGTGGATGGAAGCTGTGGATAGAAGCTGTGCTGGTTGCTGAGCAAGCTTTGGGATGGGAGGACAAGCCAAGCAGAGTCAGCCATCAGCAGATGGAGAAAGAAGAAAGCAGAACAAAATGGAATCTGTATCCCTGGGGTTTTGGAAAAGTGGCCTGTGGCCAGACATGAGAGGGTTAGGAGAAAAGAGTGAAATGAATCATGAGCCTAATGTACAGAAATTGTAACAGATGAAGACAAAAGGGAAAGGGCAAGAAATCCCCTTTTCTAGCACAAAAATAGATGAGGCAAAGAAACAGTGAAAAGTGTAATTTTGGGTTACCTTGCTGTACTGAATGTATTAATAGTTTGATTCAGTTTTATTTGAAAAGAAGACAGAAGAAAGAAAAGGGCATAAAGCCCTCGTTACAAGCAGAAAAACCAATGAAGCAGAAGACAAAAGAAAAAAAAATTCTAATTTCAGGTTCCCTTGCTGCACTGAATGTATCTACAGTTTGAGTCAGTTCTGTTATTTTAGGTATACAATTAAGTCTATATTTTCTCTACTCACCTTTTTATTCAAAATTTATTTCTGAGGACCAATTTTTCTCTCAGAGATGTGAATTAAGTGTTACTACAGTAAAATGCAGCTGCTTATGGGCACCTAAAGGCAAGAGAAGGAGAATCTGGTGCAACTATCAAGAGATAGTTGTTGCACTGCTCTCTGTATGGCCAGCACTGACTTCATAGCCTGACCTTCCATTCTGCTTGTTCCAGTTGTACAAAGATATCAAAATAGGAAGGTGCTATCCTGAGAAAATACTCTGAAACAGCCATGCATTCATTTATTGAATAATAACAAATTTGAGTCTGCATTTATGAATATCACTCCGATTAAATTTCTTGTAGACTAATAATGCATCCTCAATCACTTGATTAAGCAAAAAAACCCACCCACAAATAAAAGCTGAGAAGACATTTGAATGTATAATAACAGTAATAAGCAAAACCATTATTGTGATTAAACCTTTAATATGATTAATGCTCTTTGGAAGGATTGCACCTAAAACCTTGAAAGCACAATGGGGCTGGGGAGAAAAAACAGAAGTTGTTCAGACCTGGAAATGTACAGTTGAAGAGATGCAGCTGCTCAGCTCAGCATTTCTATTTCTGAGTGTGTACAGGAGTGACAGTTCAGCCACCAACCCAGGGACTGCTGGGATCAAGGGAGAAACACAAGTGAGCCAAAATAACAACAGTCTGGGAAAGCAAGCAGGGGACAAAGGACACACAGAAAGTTGGTGTTATCCTAACACAGTCACCAGTACTGATATAATCCCCAGTGCCCACAAGGGTTTGAAGTCCCACGAGGACTGATGGGAAGCCCTGCTGCAATGGTTGGAGCTGTGGATTAGGGACCACGCTCTGGGCATGAAATCATCTCCCTCTTGGTTCTCCAGAGGGAGCTTTTCTGCACAGCTCTGCAGTGGAAGGAGAACAACCTCCTTCTAAGAATGCACAGCACAGCCTTACACGTTAATGATGTTGATAAACCCCAGAAATGTGTGGAACCATGCAAAAGTGTATTTGCTTCTGGGAAAAGGGAAGCGACCTTAATTTTTACCAGCCTGGGTAA